ATGAAAGGCACTCACCCGCAATGCAATTATTATTCGAACCAATTGATTTCTTGAATGCAGCGTTCAGATCCTTGTTCACCTCGATATCTTGTAACATACGATAAAGCTTATTTACAAAATCCGCTGGCATTCCAGCATCTCGTAATCTGTAACATATACAAAGACCACATAAAGAGACCAAAGGATACATCAATCAGGTACATATCATTCATCCCTGTCTACATAATATCCTTCTAATTCACAACACCATCAATCTCCCGACCCCAACAAAAAAATCAAGGAATTTGCTACCAACAAACCACCTACCTCGTCACCATATTTTCCTCTTTTTCCTGATCGGCACTCATCTCAAGTATCAGCCTACGTGCTAAATGCGCTTTGTGGAAACGCATAAAAACGTCCTTGTTCGACACATACTTCAGTACCAATAGCTGAAACATGACCATTTAAAAAATGAAATAATTTCTTCCCACTACCAAAACTGTGACATCCTGAAGCTATCTAAACAAACACCACAGCATAAAACATACTCGAAAGGGGAAAAACATTCAATTTAATCGCATAAACAATTACGTAACTAAAAGCAATGGACTAAAATTTTCAAAATCTTCCATCTACTCAATTTGTATTCGTTGTTATTTGTTAAATTTGATAAATCAGATACCACCATCTCATTCCTCAAATATGATATTCAAATACGTAAATCAGCTAACAACAAAACAAGTCGCCTACCACATCATTCAACTTCGCGTCGATCTCTTCAGAAGAAAGTCTCTTCGNTCCGGACATCTCGATTCAGCTTGTACACGCGATCCTCTTCAAACAATAACTCAAATCAATTTCACCTATCCACCAATGTCCATTTGCTTTTAAGGACAGCATTTCTAATATAAATTGTAAGATGAATCAAGAATATCCACAGAAACCGGAAATATTTCTCGATTAAACATTTCAACACTCACTGCTTCGACTTCGAACTAGCAATTTCCATTTTGAATATGCACGTATCATTCACCACATCCTGGAATGCCTTGTCTCGAGCCGTCAAAAAACGAGGGTCATCATAGAAAGCCGACGCCACCAAAGCGCTAAATCTTGAGAACATTGACAACAATTGCTCCACATATTTTTCTGGATCCTGAAATTCACATTTCAACTCAATTTTATCCTAAATCTAACAATACCAATTCAAAAAAAGTATCTTTGAAGAACTCTCCCATCAGAAAACGCAACAAAAATATAAAATCAAATCAAAGAAATACGAACAGTTGTAATTGTGGCCGCATTTGCCATCATATCGTTGAGCGCTTCAGTTCGAATGAATTCGTCCAAATAGTCCAAAATCGACTGAATACCATTTGGCGTACGTTTGATGAGACGATATAACATTTGCAATTCTGCAAAATTCATTTCGCCATAAATCTGGCGATCACGTCAAACAAACCAGCAAAAACCATAATAACAACAGCATTGATATTATCATTCACCATAACAATAAACGAAATCGCAGCAACAATACTATTCTGTCTTATCAACAAAAGAATGCCAATTTTTCTTCTGCAACTACCAAAATATTTTTTTCGTTCATAAAACTAA